CCTAAGCCTATGCCTAAGCCTAAGCCTAAGCCTAAGCCTAGGCCTAACCAATGAGGTCGAGAGACTGCACTAGAAGCCCTCCCCTGCGCAGTAGTCAATCAGAAGGACCTCTCTCGATCATATTTCAGGGGGCACCGTTAAACGCCCTTTTGAGAAATGTTATGGTGGGGACAGAATGGACGGAAAGCTTCTCATGAGTTATGGTGTGAAAACAGAGGGTTATTTTAGAACAGTCAGTTAAAGTAATACGTTATCTAGTATATTCAGAATACAAAAAGAAAAGTTAATGTAGGAGCCCCTTCTCAGATGTGCTTGAGGTTTGGGAAGGGATCAAAATTTTAAGTAATGCTGTTAAAGTGCACCAGCCACTGTCTTCCACAAAACAGCTTTGAAAACGGCATTCTTATAAAAATACGTTGAAAATAACGACGAGTAGTATGAGAACTACAAAAAATTGCCTCATGAAGAACGAATTCAAGGAAGTGTTTCTCCATGGAGGCTTGGAAACCACAAATTCTGCAGCTGCGAATTTGTCTTTCTCCCACCAGGTTCATCGTAAGTAGCAAGCCAGCAACGCTTACCTTTTTAGCACTTGCTTCAGATTTGATTGCAGTTGTCACTCCAAACAATGCTTGTTAGGTTACGCTTCTAAAACATGGCCGCAGAGTAGTGATTAAAGTTTCAAATTTCCTTGCCTTTTTTCACGGCCATGAACTTGATTCCGGTTGAAGAAGTTAGCTCACGCCGTACAAGGACTTTTTCGAACTCATTGAAAACCAGAAGCCGTGCCACACACTTTTTGCAATGACGCATACGCCTCGCAAAGAGAACTTTTGCTAATCTTGAGCATATTACATCCACTGTTTTATTTAAATTTTTTTCACCACTGTAAAAAATATAAGCAGAAAATAACAAGAGACATCACATTTGCACAAAAGACTACGCAAAAAGAAGAGCTGGCAAGAGGCACGCTGTATATATAACAAAAATAGCATGGTTATTCTTGAAAAAAGTAATCGGCAAAAGAATGAATCCTTTTATAAATGACGAGTCAAAAAGCACAACTTTTCCCAAAGGCTCGGCAGAGAATAATATTATCACATAATGCACTCACAAACTCAGCGCCATTTAACTTTTCAAATGATATGACTGAAGAAGTCTTGAGTCCGGACTCCAATCAAATCGCACTGTGCGCTTTTTTTTATCAAGCCTAACTAAAATATCAAGTTACTTCCCACGCCCTGCAGTAAAATTAACATCCCCCTGTTCTTACCCTTACCCGTATCAACTCAGTGTTACTAAACACGCTCAGTTATCCCTAAACAATTCAGCTGCAGACGGCAAGTCTCACCATTTCCTACGGTATAATTCGTCGGGAAAGCAAAAATATTTATTACATAGAAGCCCGCTTCAAAAAGAATAAAAATGTACATGTGAGATTCAAGAACAGTTCAAGTTCAGAAGTCGATGTAGTTCTAATCATGAAAAATTATTTCTTGTTTCGGAACTGAGCTTTTCTTTGCCGCACGATTTCTGATAAAGACTTAAAACGATCCATGCACTGTTGCTTAGTTTTGCCAGGAACACAATTCACAATCTTGTCCCATCTAAACGATATGAACGTCAACAACTACACAAGTCATCTGAAAATTACAACAAAAAATTTTTAAAAACTAACTTAAACTTTTTACCTATCTGCAGTCCCCTTTGGGAACTGTTGCAGAGCAATTTCTAATAACCTTTGGTCCCGCTGGGTCCAAGTCTCATCAGTTCCTGATTGTTCTTCCTCCTCCATAGCATTCTGCAAATACGACAACTCTGGAGGCTTATGCGCAATGGCCTCTTTTGAAATTGGCTCATTCGCGGCAAAAACTGTTACTGCTCCATTTTTTGTCGCTTCAGTTTTAGATTGGGAATTCTGTAGGGCCTTCACGAATTCTTCCTTAAATAAGCGCATTTCAGCAAAAAAAAAATATATTTTCAAAATGTTGAAGCGGTTATTTTTTTGGTTTCTTTAAAAGTCAATTATCCTACCCTTCACTGCCAATGATGGTCAGGAAACGTTACCATTTTTGGCAACTTATAGTGAAAAATTATGAATCATAATGTAACTCATGTATCAGTCGCATATGCCCCAATAAGAAGTTTAAGAAGCTCGGAGGGATTTAAAAAAGATATAAAGCACAAACCTCTATAAAATTTAAATATGGTATAGACTTTACAAAATTCTGCAATAATGGATGACATAACAAGTTCAAGCAAACCCTATTCATGTGTTTTATCCTTCCAACCATAGCGGTAACTTCTTCCGGCGTCCGCTTCAATATCTTAGCCATTTTATCCCATCTTCATTGAAAAACAGTGAAATAAAATAATTTGAACAAATGAAAGTTCTTATTAGATTATTCATTCATAAACCTACCTGTTCAACGTGCCGACTGGATACTTCTCTGTACTTAAACTGATCAGCTGGCTAATTTCTTCACAACTCCACTTCTGGTTTCGTTTCAAAGCTAAATATAATACTAAGCATCATAAATATAGAAGAATTTCTTTGGCCTCCCTAAATGTTTACTAGTGCAACCACTATAAAGGTACTGGCAGCCACAGAATAAAAATAATCAAAAATAAAATAAAGTATAGGAATTTACACCTGGGCTGTCTTCAACACAGGCTGCATCGTGCGTTTTGGAATAACTCATATTTGAGACAGGTGTGATATCTGAAGCCACTTCATACTCAAAATCTGGTTGGCTCATAACAGGATTTGTGCGGAAATGCTCTTTTACTTGCTCTATCTGAACAGTAAACTGTAATTACGCAGTTAAGTAGATTTCTCCATAAGTACCGACAAAGTTTAAGTCAAATATTATGCGAATATTTTCTACATTTTTTTTTTTTAATTTGTGAAGTTGTCTGCGGCTTCATAGTAACCGTTCAGAAGGTCTCACCTGAAGTGAAGAATCACTTTGTTTGCTAAAATGTTCTAAGAGCAGTTTGTACAAGTTTGGAGAAGAGCTGATTAATTCAAGAATTGACAAAAGAATGAGCACTGGCAACAACTGCTTCAATTTTGGTCTCATTTCTGTTAACTGGTCAACAATTCGCGCTTCTTGCAGATCTTTCACATCGGTAACTCCCGTTTTTTTCAGCTGACGAATTTCTTTCCTCCTTAATTTCCCTTTATTCGACGACTGTAATAGTTGGTCAACAATTAAATTTCAATTTCTTGTTAGAGAAGCGCTTAGTCTAAAGGTTGAAAAATAAACTGTTTCACTCAGAGAGCTTCATGAAATGCAAATAAGCAATAAAAGAATTATTCTTGACCAACTGGTAATAATCTTAATAATTAAATGATAATGAGGAAACAATTAGCTATAATACTGCAAAATCAAGATTACCAGTACTAAGTACTTGTCCACGTAAGCGCCCCACAGCATTAAGTAATGGCCGGTGGTACATATAATCAGAAGAACGAAAACAGTTTCGTACCACGTAAGTTTCTTTGCTCGCCTAAAATATTTGCACTTTCAAACTGCCAGCTAAAAAAACCAGAAATGCATGTTACCTTATGTAATAAACAGGTTGTCGCCAATCAGGCAATCCATTTTCCAGCAAAAAGTCATATTTCTCCCTCATTTCTTTAGATTTAAGAACTTCATAAACAGCTGCGACCTGAAACGAAGGTATCCAATAAAACTGAAAATATCACAGAATTACAAGTTATAGTTTAAAAAGACCTTTCTAAACTTTTCTGAAGCTTCCGGAGAACTGTTGCGATCGGGGTGCCATTCCATACTGAGACGTCGATAAGCCTTTTTAATTTCTGACAGTGAAGCGTCCTGAAATGACTGGTGTAAAATCACTGAGTAAAAGCGTACCTAAAAAAATTTTTGAAGTTTGCTTATAAGTAAAAAATTGACTACATATAATTCACCACGAAAAACATTGTTTTCATCTGGTCAGCCACAGAATGACGTTTAGTAGGCTTATAGAATTCTCCAAGAAACAAAAATTTAAACGAATTACAGCTCCAAACGAGAACCGACGCTTGAAAAAGCCCTGCGATTATTACAAATAAACTTCCAAGGATGGAAGAAGAAAAATTGCCAAATAGACAGAAGACTGACTTGTTCCACATAAAGAGTT